AATCGACCATCTATATGACGGATGCTTTCTCATGCAATGTAATCGACATTGTTGGAGGTGAGTCAGATAGCTTGAGACATCTCTTAGCCTCACTCTCTTTATTTGAGAGTAAGGCCGAGCCTCTAGACACGCCCTCTTTATTTGATGGCAAGGCTTATAGAGTATGGGCCCCCATATCCAACTTTTTGGAGTGTTTCTCAATAGAGGAAGGGCTCCTTGATTCGTTTCTTGCATGGGACCAACTCTCTCTTATGGAGCTTGATGACACGATCACTCTAGACCAGGTCCATCTTTTGCAAGACACAGCCAAACTCAATCCTCCTCAGCAACTATCTGAGGTGTCACACAGCCAGCATCTTCCTACAAAAATCATGGTAGCTGATGACTTTAAGCATATTTTGTCATGCTGTTTGTTGGAGATGGAAGAAGACATCTAGACACACAACTGGTAGAAAGAATCAAGCCAATCGAACGTGCTGCATGTGAGTTGTAGCTCTTTGAGTTCAAAATTTCCTACCATGGAGCCCCCGGTACTCTAACCACCAGAACGACAACTTCTTTTCAAAATTCCCATCAAGACGGATACAGAGGCTTTTGGAGTATGCCTTTGCCAATATTCACAGCCTGGCAAGCCACCACATGCAACATATTATGCCTCACATTCGTTCAAGAAGACTGAGAAGAAGTACGTGGATGCAGAAAAAGAAGCAGTGGCTATTGTTTACACCTTGGAGTGATTTTGTCACTTTCTTGCTGGAGCCTGTATCCATTTCCATGTCTGTTTTAATGTGCTGACCTTTCTTTTACAGCAACCGGTTCATAGTCCTCATACTTTATCTTGGATTGTGACCATTCAAGAGTTCCAGCCAACTTTTCACATGTAGCATCTTCTCCAACGGCTGCAGGTCAAGCATGTGAAGAGTAGCAGCTATTATCCTGAGTGCAATGGCTAGGCTGAGTCTAGCAACAAGATATTGAAGATAATCATCTCAAAGCTTGTGGAAGATCACCCAAAGCATTGGTACGAGCACTTAGTCACAACATTGTGGGCCTTTCAGACGTCCTTCAAGACATCCATCTCCGTGACCCCATTCTCCCTTGTCTATGGGACAAAGGCCATGTTTCCAGTGGAGATCCAGGTGCTATCGCTCTCACTTTCACTTCGATACATAGCAGCAATGCAGCTTAGCAATGAGGACAAGCTTCATGTACGTAATTTGGAGGTTCTTGCCTTGGAAGAACAGCAACAATCCACAACTGAACATCTCCTTCGAGGCAAGTAGAAGATCAAGTCAGTCATTGATCACTAGCAGTCTGCCGAACCATTTGAAGATGGTGATCTCGTTCTACTCAAGGAGTTTATGCCACTTTCGAAGTTCTCCCCTTGTTGGACCAGCCCCTACTTTGTCCAGTGACACATCGGAAGTGGAGCATATGTGCTAGTTGATGCTGATGGATGTGAGCTCCCACACGCTCATAACCACTCTCATTTCAAATGCTTCATCCAGTGAGGCGTTCCTCTTCTCTTCTTTTTCTTTTTCTTTTTCTTCCTTTCTTTCACTTACTTTCATAGCTCTTTTTCCTTACTTTCAAGGGGTGTTTCTCCATTGAACCATAGCCCATACCTTGAATTTCGCGCTCAGGCTGCATTGCCATTTGTATGGAGGTATATACATGCTGTTGTAATGAACACTAGTGTTTTTCCTAAAATAAAGATTGCTTTTTCTGATAATCCTTTGGACGTAACTATGGTAATGTTTTTTCTTATTTAATTTTCTATTTCTAAGATAATTTCATAGCTCTGTATGCATCCGGAGCATGAAGAGTAGTATCATCATATTGTAGCAGATTTATATGCTGGATATATGCCAAAGTTTTTATTTTTTAATATTATGAAAAGCATGAGTTAGGTGATTTAGCAACACTTGGAAGTACTTTATTTTTGCCACTAGTTGATTCAAACGAAATTCAAAAGCTCAATGAAGTTTATAAAACACACCATGGTCTCACTTCTAAAGACAAGGTAATGTAAATTGCTTACATCTACTTTCAACTCTAACTTCTAATTATACAGATTAGTGGATATTTCATCCCTGACAACCAACAAAGCCTCACTCAAGTTGAAAGTTTTTGCTCATTTTACTCTTTTACAATGTAGAGAGAAGATGGTTTTGTTGTTTGTGCAAAGTGTAAAGGGCATTCCATCCCTCATAAATCATCTACAATAACTGGTTCTATTATATCAAATGACATGATGGAATATAGAGTTACAGTGCATGATAAAATGGTGGATAAAATTTATAATTTGGATGAAGGGTCTATGGTCAAGTTTGCTATGGAGTCCCCAGAAAAGATTGCTGTTTATCTGTCTTCAAAACCAATAGGTTCTTTCTATTGAATGACGCAAATATTATTGTCCATTTTGAGACACCATACAATTCAGCCATGGAAATTGCCAACAACCAGAAATAGAAACAATTGTTTCTTGTCTATTTTTCAATTGCTTTCTCTATAATACAAATATCTATTCGTGAAATCTTGCAGTGCTTCTTTTAACAATTTCTAGATTTCAAAGCACACAAACTAGCAATCCTATGGCAACGACTCACAAGATTGCTACTGATTGCATTGCACAACAACTTGAAATTTCCAAAAGAACTAATATGCAAGAAACACAACCTGCCTCTGAAAGCCCCTCTCAGGTAATCTACCACGTTAACATTGTATGCCTAACACCAGAATTCAGGAAAATGATCATTGTGCATCCGGATAGAGAGTTTCTTGAGGACTTCAGAGAAGCTGGGTGAAGAATGTGGTGTATTGTTTTCTGTACTAGATGCTAAACCCCATCTTGTAATAAATATGTAAGCAAATGAATGTGAAAGAGCTTGAACCACAAGCAATTCCAAAATTCAGCTTTGTTGTTGATTTGTTTGAACTAGATGCTTGAAACCGTGTACGCTCTTGTAGTGCTCTTGACAAAAGAGTTGGAAAAGCCATAGTCAAAATCACTATGGCAATCAAAAATTTGAGCCAGGACTTGAATTTGAAAGTGTGAAGAAGCTGTTTAGTAGACAGGATCTAGAAAGCATACCATTAGTGGCAGAACTTCATTATATGCACCTTTTTACTCAAATCATATTATCCTGTAGCTCAACAAAATGCTAATAGTGATGGCACTTCACATTGCAAGTACTTTATACTTATGCTAAAGTCAAGTCTTTCAAGGGCGACCTTCAAAGACATTGACATGGTCATTAAAAGTCTTTGTCTCTTTCACATCTCTTTGTCATGGAGCTTGTAGTTCACTAAACTAAGACTCTTGCTTCTGAATGACCGTGCTCCTACTGGATCCTACTGGATAGCTTACAAAAGAAAAACAAAGCAGCTTAGAAGAAAGTTAAATAGGAAGGCACATATATATCAAATGTTCGCTTTAGTTCTTGGCTCTGGATATCCATCTTTGGCGATGTTGAGCTCTCCTTCACCCTGTAGTAGCTCAAAAGAAGTTCATTGATACTAAACCACAAGAACAACGAACAAAACGTTTAAAAACAAAACAAGACCTTGCAAAAATGCAAGAAGATGAAACAAACATGGCAGTACCTAGACTAATTGAAAAATACATGCAAAGACTAGAAGAATTAGAAGATTTAACATTAGCAGAGATAACAACTGAATATATAATTGAAAAAGAAGTAACAACACGAAAACTTTAAAAAAAAATAATATAATTGGATATATAAACTTTAGTAAAGAAAAAGATCCAGAAAAGTGGGCTTTTGAAAGATTAATCTTACATAAAAAATTTAGAAAAGAAGAAGATCTTAAAGAAATGTATACAACATATATGAATGCATATGAAGCAAATATGGAACAAATAAATGAAAAATAACATCAATACATATATAAAAAAGTAATAAATGAGAGTGAATTTGATTGATTGATTGAATAAAATATTAAAAGAACAAGCACAGTATATGTAAGAAATAAACACAAACCAAATAGATGAATTTGATATAGGGAAAGATTTATTCAAAATGAAAAATAAAAAAAACTTAAATTTAAATATAAAATATAAAATATTAAAAAATTTAACAATTATAATACAAGATGAATACCTTATGGAAACTAGTAAATATCACCAATTATTAAGAACTCTAAATAAAAAGCAAAAAATAATACATGATGACTTCATATTGAAAACAATAAAACAACCTAACAAACAATTGTGCTTACTTTTAACAGGAGAAGCAATAACTGGAAATTCAATGCTTTTAAATACACTTATAGAAACACTCAAATGATATTATAAAACAAACCAAGATATAAATAATGAACTAGGACAAACAATATTAATAATAGCACATACAGAGAAATCTCCTCTTTCTCCACGTACTCGAGAAAAGCCTCAAATCGTTCGTCAGGTTCCTTGAAAAGCCATTTGTAATACGTCTCTCTGTCCTCAAAATTCTCCCGCACAACATCAGTCATACTTTGGCCGATGTGGAATGCCCAGCCATGGCAAGGAGCAGCAGCAGCGTCATCTTCCTAAGCATCTCCCAGTAATAGCTTGTCCACACAATCCCGGAATGCCTTGATGCTACGCTCGTTTCTCGCCGACGCGAACAGCGCCGTCCCAGCTCTCCCCAGCATACTCGTCGACGCCCCAGACGCGAGTGAATCCAAGAAGGTGAATGCCCACATTGTGTACCATGGCCAAGATCCTGCACACCAAGCTCTCCAAGGCACAGCCATAGCTGCGCGCTTGCCCGATCAAATGCCGCACGTCCACCACCACTCGCTCCACCTCCATTCTGCCCTAGCATACTCCACCAAGGAGCAAGCAATAGATAAGTTCGTACAAAACTGTAAAATAGAAGCCGCTTAAACAAACAAAAGTGTGGTTGAGTTTTCGCTTTTTGTCTCTTGTGTTTATAATTGAGTTAGTGGTCTAAAACACCAGGCCGTCGGATGAAGATCGTGCGGTCCCTGACGATTCTAGGGCGCCACTGCCTCTAGGAATTGGCTAAGGTGGAAGCTCAAATCGGGCTTCTTGAGCCGCAGATCCAAGCGGCTGGGGTCTTTTCTCTCTGCCCTTCAGAGTGGCAATCAATCTCTGGCGGAATATTGGCGGAATATGGGCGGAATAAGAAAGAGCAACTGCGGAAGGAGGAAAACCTCCTCCACCTCAGAAGTAATGGTAAGTCATTCTTTGTGTATTTAGCTTTTTGCGGCGTTTTGCTGTGTTTCGTGGATATCTTTCGGCTAGCGCTTTTATTTTGGGTTGCCAGAAGTGTGGCTATGGTGGCTTTTGGCTATGCTGCTGGCGGACGCATACTCCCTTGTGGATCCTTGTTTATGGCTATGGCTGTTGAGACCCTTGATTCTGGCCATGTTTTCTATTGATAGTTTTTTCTTCCAGATCTAATACTAACTTTGTTATGTTCTGAATGTTGCAGTGCCCCTCGCTGGAGTTGCACAGGAGGAGCATGGGTGGGGTCGCTGGAGAAAGGAGCGCGGTGCGCTCACCAAGCTGTTTTCTCGGAAGTTTGTCCTCCCGCAGCACGTTGACGCAGGGCGCATCCGTGGTACCCCCCTCAGAGCTCATCGGGAACCGCGGAATTACACCTTGGTAGACTGTGAATGCCGCAACTGGGCATTTGCCGCGGAGACGAGGAGGCCAATGGAATCCGCGGATCTGGTAAGCAATTGTGAAAGCCCTTCCCCCTTGTTTTCTCTTTGATCTGTGTGATGTTGGAAGACCCATTTTTTGTCCAGTTCTTGGTGTTCCTGGTGCGCCATGAAATCGGGCGCAAGGTCTTGCTTCTGATGGCGTCGCTGTTGGATTTGGTCTTGGGTGCTTGTGTCTGGCTTGTGGTTGTAATTGAATTCATGGCCATCTGCTTGGTATGTGGGCCCTTGCGTTCTATTAATGCTGTCTGTGTCTTCTTCGGCTTAGAGCTCTTCCCCCTGGGATGACTGTTTTGCCGTCGTTTGAAGTTTTCCTGCCTCACACTAGAGTTTGCTCAGAGCGGTATTTGCCTGCTTGTAGCAGTTCTTGTCTGATCCGTGCATTCGTATCTTTCTTCAGGTGTACCAGATGGTGTGGTGGCCCTTGTAAGGGCTACTGATACTCCAGATTCTAAATTCTGGATTTTAGATAGCGATGCACTGCGAAATTATGACAAACCTTTCCTGCTATGGAAACGAAAGGCATATGCGAGTCTAGAATCCAAAATCCAGGAGCGGCTCAACAACTTCACTTCCTTCATTGTCCTAGGCACTGCAGGGATAGGGAAATCGTTCTTTGGCTATCACTGGATTATTAGGCTGGGCCAAATGGGGCAAGAAAAGGCGTTATACAAGGTTGGCGAGGTTGTTTACATCCTGAATTTGCGAAGCCGATATGTTGAAGGTGGTTATTACGTGAATGGCGAAATTATATGCCAAATGCTGGACGATCTGTCAATGTGGCTAGTGATAGATGGGAAGCAGGAGACGCCTTTACCTGGCAAGTGTCGAGTTCTTTTGGTTTGCTCATCTAACAAGACAAACTACCAGGAGTTTGGCAAGGGGGGACTTTGTTGCATGCTTTATATGTCGGTGTGGTCCAGGGAGGAGATTGGGAAATTCCTTGACGACTTTGAGCCTTACCGAACTAGTTACAGGAACATGAATGTGGTGGACAGAAAGGAAGGGCTTGACAACTTCGATTATTTGGGTGGAGTTCCTAGGTATGTACTGCGTGCAACAAAGCTGAAAGTGGGGAAGGCCAGGGCCAAGGCTGTGGTTGAGTCGTTCGGATCAAGTGCGTCCAAAGCGGCTACAATTTTGTCATGAGGGTACGTTGAAAAAGTCAGTGACTGCATTCTGCACATCGTGGCAACTGAGGACCACAGCGAAAAGACATATCAGTTTGCAAGCGAGGCTTTGATGACAGAGCTTGTTCGTGTTGGGATTTCTGAAAGAAACATTCAGTTGCCCTTGGGTGGGGGCTTTGTCGGGGAAGCTTTATGAGCCTCTTGTGCATAGGCTACTGTTGAAGGGTGGTGATTTTGTTATCAAGCCAGTTCATGCTAATCGAAGCTCCGGTCCTGAGACTTCCGTTCATATTGGACCTCATATCATGCTGGAGGCAAGTTCTGCGGGTGAGTTTGGAGGAAAGATGGGGATGGGCAAGTACGTGCAACCAACTTCTGAAGTCTTTCCGAGCATCAATTCTGGTATGGATGAAGACATTCTCATTCAAGAGCGGGTATTAGATACCATAGTTTTTCCTTTGTAATGTGGGCTTTGTTTGACATAGGAACGTGAATTAACCTGGCAGCTCGTAAATCACAATACTAGAAATTGCCCAGCAAAAAGCAGGTGGGTTGGCAAGGTGAAGTTTTCAAAAAACTTTAAATCTGAGCCAAAAAAGACAAATATATTGGCCAAGAGTTTTATGTCACAAGTATTATAGCTTCGAGATTTGAGCATCATGGTTTCGTTGCTAGTATTTCTCCTACAGAAGGAAAAACCAGAAAAGAAAATAAAACTGTTAAGTTCAAAGCATAAGAATACTAATCATTGTGTTATGTGATGTTTAGTTTGCATTTGTTTTTCTTTTGGATAACAAAGGAAAAACTTTTGGTGAGATTTTTTTTTCTTCCACAAATGGAAGCATGATACCTATTCCCAATTGGAGCAAATTATCTCAACCTAGAAGCTGCCTAAACCTTGGGAAAGAAGACATGAACATAACTTTGACAGAATTTAAATGGTATTTTTCCATATTTTTACATATTGTACAGTGTTATGAGCTTGGCACTATAGATTTCTCCACTGCAATGGCAGCTTTTTCTCAATTGCTTCCTTCTGCAACACCGGTGGCAGAAATGTTGAGGTGATGGAGCTTGAATCCTTTGTGTGGCTTGTGAGGTGTGGCTTTACTGTGAGCTTGAGCTCTAGCAAGTGTTGATGGTGAACACTACTGAGTTTTCGGTGTTGTCCTCGCTCTTGCTACCATTGTTGTAGTCTTGGCTGTCCTCGGAGTTTGCGTCCCATGCACTGTTCTTGTGGGAGATGGCTGTGTCACTGAGACAAAAGCGTGCTTGTTTCTCGATCACTTCCTCGGACTTGTGCAGGGCAGTGTGAACCACAAGCTTCTTCTCTTCATCTTTGATTTCCAGGATGTCTTTGAGGAGGAGGAACACCTCGTTTGATCTTAGTAGACTGCGATGGTCGCCTGGAACCCTGTGCCTCACAGTCGCAGGGAACCCAACATCCTATGAAGAAAGCAGAGTTCAGAACCGGGTGATAGAAATAGAGGGCTACCTTGGAAGACTTGGATGGTACCGTGCCATGTCCATCCACATACTTGAAATTGGCCTGCAAAGTCCAAAGTTTCTTTGAGTAAGCATGAAGAAAGAACTCCACATTACCTTGAGCTCAACTATGAGGCATTTTTTCACTCCTGTAGCTGGAAACAATGGAAAAAAGTTGCCAATGAAGTTGGCTATCAAGAATGAAGAACACATACCAGACATGGAATGGAGTTTTGCATGAACTGCCATAGATGTTGTAGAATTTAAAATCTTTTGGAAGTTTTGCAAAGAACCATAGACGGCAGGACTCATTTGCCCACTCAAGAATACATCTTATTGAAAGGAATGGGTATTGTCTTGTCATCATAGCTCAGCTGCATAGAAAATATTTAGTTTACCAGCATAACCAAAGAAAACAAAAGAGAAGTTGATATACCACTAACCATGTTCTCTTTAAGTGCAACTTCCATCTCAAAAACACACTCGATGGGTTCATATGAGTGTATCTTTTTATCTTCTCCTTTGTCTTGTTTCTTCCTCATCGTGCCTATTGTGGCTCCTAGATAAAAATCGAGCTGGAAATTGGAGAGAGAATCCATGGCAAGTCCATCACTCCATTTTGCCGATCCAGCAAGCAATTTGATAGGCAGTTTTGCTTCGTTTCAAGGGCCTAAATGCAGAAGAAGGAGCTTCTTGAGAGTTATAGAGTCGTCGGGCTCCAAAAAACTCGAGGTAAAGGTCTTGAGATAGAGATAGAGTTCTCTGAGTCATACAGTTTTTGGAGTTTTAGATTGTCTATGATCCTGTTGGGAGGTATGAAGAGCTCACCAAGGAACTCCAAAGCTCAGGTGGTTTTGCTCGAAATCTTACATTATTTTTGCCATCCAAGGTATGTATAGTTTTCCCAAAGTTTTCTTCTTGGATAGAGCTAAAGAACTTTATAACCAGATCAATGATTTCTTGGGAATCACGAGCAAGAGACCTGATGGCTACCACGATTTAACATCTCTCTTTCATGTAAGCTTTTGGGTTTTTTTTTTCTTGTTCTAGTTTCTTAAGAAACTTTTCACTCAGGTGATTAGCCTGGGAGATACTTTAAAGTTTTCAGTTTCTCCTTCTAAAAAGAAAGACTCACTTACAACAAATGTGTTTGGAATCCCACTCGACGACTCAAACTTGGTAAAACTATCCATTCATTTGTTTCTGAGGATTTACAAAACATTTCTGGGTAAGCTCTCAATAAACTTTCCTTGATCAAAGCATTTAGTTTTTCTTCTTTGGACTAAAGAGTTCCAAGTGGTGCTGGCCTTGGAGGTGGCAGTGGTAATGCCACCATTGCTCTCTAGGCTGCAAAACAGATGAATGGAAACCTTGCTAGCGAAGTGGATCTACAAAAATGGTCTGTGGAGATTAGCTCTGATATTCCTTTTGTTTTCTCACATGGAGCAGCCTGTTGCACTGGCTGTGGAGAGGTAAGATTAGAAAAAAGATAATTTTTCGCTTAACAGGACAGATGACAGGCACAGTCATGGTCAACACATTTGTATATGACATATGTCACCTTTTTTCTCTCGCCCCATGCAGTTTGGTCACCTCCCATTGATTGGGAGCAAACATTAGCATGATTATTTGCTAGGACGTGGTTAAAGAAATAACCCTTTTATAGTTACCCCCCATTGGACGGCTACCATTAGTTGGATGTGGCAGCCAAAAAGTTTGGCACTCCCTCCTTATTATGATAGATTTTTAAATATTCTAAATACAATCAAATATTGATTTTAGCAAAGAGTGAAGATTTGCCTAAACTGATCTTTTAAGATGCATCCACCTCATTGCTGCTTGTATTGACTTTTATCAATGCTAGTTAACACGTGAAGTCTAAGAAGTGTGCCTTACATTTACTATCAATGAGCGATTTTTGGATAGATGCAACAACATTACTCAATGTCCCTTAGAGATTAATACAAAAAGGATTCCCTCATGGTGCTACTCTTAACAATACCATCTTGTTATCTCCTACCTAATGGTGATTGCTGCATTCCAATTGGGCTACTGTGGTCATCTCCTTCGCATAGCGTCCAGTGCCAAATTGGCTTGTTTTGCCTCATTTACTATAGAGTCTGGTGGTCTCCATTTTCATTTGATACTTCCCTCATATTCCCCTCCATAGCAAAGGCTCCATTGTCATTGCCAAGCTTCTAGTGCCTCTCTTTTTCCAAATTCCTGGAGCAGCATGTCCTTGAGACAGACAGCCACCAACGTGAGCCTCCACCAGTTCACCCTGATTGCCAATATTGGAACATTCTGTCCCTTGAAGTGACTATGGTTCCAAGCGAATTTTGGATAGAATCCCATACGTGGGCAGTCACAGAGAGAATGCTCCACTGGGGCAACTTGTTAAAGATTTGGGTTGTATCATGTGTTTTCCTGCATTATTTGGCAAGCATTCTCTCCAACGAGAGTGTGTCTCTTTTGGACCTCGAAAACGTGTGAGATTGATCGATTTACTTGTGCATCCAAGAGATGGCAAACTCAATCATCATCAGTGCTGCAGCTTTCTATCACACTGGTCTCAACCTATGTCCATAGTTTGAACCTCCAGCAATCGTAGAAAACACCATGTTCAATGAGATCAAGCTATTTAACAAGCAATCAAATAAAGAAAACTTTTACACATTCTATAGATCCACGACACTGATCATGGAAAACAAACGTTTGATTCCATTTCATGCTTGATCTAGAATGCTGGCAGCTTTTGGCCAGAAGAACTTTGAAGGGGCAAAAACTAATTTCTGGCCTGGCAAGAAGGGCATATGTATGAAACAAAGGCTCTTTTGCATCAAGCGACCCAAATCTTTATCAAGATGTTACAGCTGAGCCTTGCGATAGCAACGTGAATGGTTGTTGGTGTTGAAACTCGTCCAGGTGGTGGGAGAATGGGGAACGTTCCAGGTTGAGACAGAGTGGACAAAGTTGGATTATGCAAGGAGTTACTAACAGTGGACAGCAGCAAAAGCCTTGCTTTCTTATTTAAACAAAATATGTGTTTGCAATGAAGATTAACTAGCATGGCTCATGTATACACAAAGTATGGAAGCATGGAGGACATTGCAAGTTTTATCTGAGATGAAGCAGACTTTCATAATCTCAACTTAATAGGAGAACCAAGCAAGCTCCGATACTCCAGCTTGACAAAGTGCCAGAAGGAGAGCAAAGAATGAATAGAATCTTTTCAAAAGGAAACTAGAAACAACTGCTTTATGAAAGAAGAAAGAAACACTAGCTATATGCTAGCTACATTTAGAATTTTCTCCTGAAATTTGCTGCTGAATGTGGCCCTTGATCTCCATGATTTAAGGCACCTATCACACCTTGGATTTTGGCTCTAACACTCCTCCTAAAGCCAAGGGTGTGACTGCTGTTGCTACCTCTTCCTTAGTCAAGGTTTGGCCATGACTCCAATAGAATTCATGTGTTCCACAAATAGAACTTTAGCCAAAGGTTTTGGAAAGATGTCAATAAGTTGTTGTCAAGAAGAAATATGCTGAACCATTAGCAAACCTATGTGTACCAAATCTCTGACATAGTAATAGTGTTAGGCATCATGTTGAAACTTCCAATGTTGCACTTCACTATTGCACTAATCGATAGCTCCCTTATTATCAACATGGAGAGTAATTGGTGTGGAGGATTGCTCAAGAGCTCCAAGAAATTCTTGAAACCAAAGAATTTCCCTAGAAACAGCTGAGCCAGCAAGATACTTTGCTTTTGTGGAGGAAGGAGCAATGTGAGTTTGCTTCTTGCTGGCCTAAATAACAAGACTTGTTCCAAGCTGGAAGCAAAACCCTATTGTGGATTTATGGCTGTCTCTATCAATTGATAGGCTACTATCACTGTAAACAACAAAAGAAAAACCACCACATGAGCCATACAATAGTCCAAAAGCAAGAGTTTTCTTTACATAGCGCATCACCAATTTCAATGTTTTTTGCCAGGATTAGTAG